GGAACTTAACAACAACAAAAAAAAGGGTATACAGATGAATGTTCATTTTGTATCTCTGTATTCAAGGTGGTTAGGATAGATATATAGTTACATTCTCTTAACAAATAGAGTGATTTATTCTAATGGTGTTTGTAGATAGGATATCACGTCCGCATCCTATATAGCAATTAACCACTGGAAGGAATGTATGCAATGTGTTAATTATTGAAATTGTCCTACCAATTTGATTTGAAACTGTCTCATTGCTATTTGTTTATCAATAAAATTATGGAAAAAAAAAGAATCCCTGAGAGTATAGTGTTTTGCCATGATAAGATGAATACTTTTAAGATTGTATGATCACAGTAGCATGGAATGATATTAATGGTCAGTTTGAGGGACTTTTTGCTTTTACTGTAGATTCTATTCTCTTGTTAGACAGAACTATAATTTAGTGCTAGCATGGTACAAAGCATAGGCTGTGCAGCCGGTAAATATTTTTTGTTTTTTGTTTTGTTTTGTTTTTGTTTTTGTACTAGGGATTGAACTCATGACTTTGCGCTTGCCAGGCAGGCATTTAAGCTACTAAGCTATCTTCATGGCCTTCAGTAAGTGTGTGTTAACTAGTGTGACAACCCATGATAACTCAAGATCTGAGATTTAAGAAAAAAAGTTGGACCTCTATGCATGGTAGTGAAAAAGTCTTTATATGGCTAGTACACCCGCTTTCTAAGAATATTTTTAGTAAAAAAAAAAAGTCCCTTTTACTGAGTCTTTTGAATCAAGTTCCCAATACCCCATCAACAAGTGGGCTGGATTTGTGAGCAACAGGATGGAGGGAGAGTATCATTAGAAAGCTGAGGAGTGACATAGTCTTTAGATATTTTCACTTTCTCTTGTGTTCGAATTTGTGACTTTTTCGAAGAAAAGACTCAGGTGACCCAGGTGGCTTGCGGCAGGGCACCTCACTTCCCTTTCCAGAACATTACATGGGAACTGTCAGGGGGGCCTTGTACCTATCTTCTGTCGTGGAAGCTATTTGCCAGCTCCTTGGGTAGATCTAAAGGGAATTTCTGAAAGTGAGAGCTTTAACAGTTGTTAGAGGGCCGGGGACATGGCTCAGTAGAATAAGCGCTTCCCTGGCAAGCACAGGGGCCTGAGTTCAATCCCTGGTTCTGCCAAACAACAACAACAACAACAACAACAACAACAAAAAGTTGTTGCCAAAACCAGTTGTAATTCCATTTCGTCCTTTTCTTCCAATCTCCCTATTTCTTTTTTTGTTTGTTTTATTTTTATTTATTTTTTGTATTGGGTACAGGGTCTCACTCTGCAGCTTGGACTTCTAGTGATCCACAGCTCAGATTCACAGTGATCAGCTGTTTCTTTAAAGTTGTAAGATTATGTTTACTTCAGTGCCTTTATGTCCCCAAGATGACAGGAATTGTGAATGCATGAAGTAGCCTTTCTCATAGCCCTAGTTAGCTTTGGCCTGTTGTGTTTAGAAAAGGGACGGGAGAGGAATGCATCAGAACACCTGTGAATGTGCACAAAGGTGTGAAAATAGAAATTACTCCCACCTCTTAACTGCCTGGCCTACTGTTGGAACTTGGAGGGTGTTTCCCTTCTCTCTGTTTCCATGGATTTCCTTTTTATTGTCTGTGGCTCAGAAAAGCAATACAATGCAGCACTTGCTTGTCTGTTTTTCTTTATTGGCCTCAACTTTATAATATAAAAATATCACTCCTGTTAGAGTTAAGAACAGGTGCTGTATGAAGCTTCAACAGCAGTTTACCTCTCATTTGAAGAAAGTGTCACCCAGCTACTCTCAGAGGAGGAAATTAATGACACCAATGTATGCCAGTTACCAGCAACAACCTTAAAGGAGGACAAAGTTCCCACAGATCAGCAGATTCCCACATACTGCCTCTCCCTCCCAGCTGCCAGGGTAGTCCTTGGAGAAAACTAGTGCTCGGACTGTCACGGTGAGCCCAACAGAACAGTTTAACCAGTAATAGTAAGAGCCACCATGTACTGAATATTTAAGATGTGTCATCCCTTTCATTTAATCTCCAGAACAATGCTGTGAGCTCCTTACTTTTTCTTACTTTTCTGCATAGGAAACCGAGATAAGGTAATATTAGTCCAAAAGGTCCCCAGTAGAACGTTACTTACGCAGGTGGCATGTCCAGCCTTCCTCCCTGCATTTGGCACCACCGAGCATGCAGGCTTTGTTCTGTGTGGGTGGTCAGCCCTTGACAATGGCTTGTTGGCTGCTGCTGCTGACACCAGTCCTGTATGGTGGACTGGAGCATGGGCAAAGACTAATACAAGAATGGACTTCAGTAGAGCTGAATTTGGCACACCAGGGCGATCACAGCAAATCCAAAGTCGCTGGTGTGCACCAGAGAGTAAGCTTCAGTACAGGAGCACTTCTATCCAGGAACCTCAGCCAGGCAGCAGACGAGAGAGGGTGGCGGGTCAAAGGAATCCTGTGCCGATGCCCTTTTTCCTTCTCATCTCAACATCAAGTCCCATGTACAGCTGCAAGCCATGGCAGCCTGGGAAAGGGTTGCAAAGCTAGCTGCTTCTGCCTCCAAGAACACTTGCTTGGGGAAGATAGATTCTAATGAATAGGGTGTTTTAAAATTTGCTTTCTTCCCACTTTAAAAAATATTAAATGGTTTAGCCCTTTACAATCAGTGAATAGACTTAATTATAAAA